GAAGGAGGCCCTTTTTGAAAAACATTGAAATAAGGATTTCTGCAGGAACGTTTCTGGAGAGATGTATGTTTTTAATAATGTTAATGTAGAGCTCAGGAACCCAGTCAAAGGTTTTGCTGCCTTCTGCTCCAGGAAGGGTTTGTTACAGTCCAGGCTAGACCTTGCCCTACAGAGTTTAGGATTAGATGAGAAGGGAAAAGGGGATGTTGCCAGGTTGGCATTGCAAGAAGGGCACTGGGAGCTCATGGGCAATGGGTTGATCTTGCCAAAGCTTGTAACACAATTCTTGTGAAAGAGGAGGGGGTAAAATCTAGTTTTCTTGGGTCTCAGTTCTGCACTTCTCCATTACTTCATTTCCTAGAAGCTTCTTTATTCCTGTTGTTAAAAAGGCTGCATGTGCTTGGGGGTTTGGGTGGGGTTTTGTTTGTTGGTAGTTTTTTTTGGGGGGGAAGGGCAAGAGGGATGTTTTTTGTGCTTTAAAGCCATTTCCACAGCAACTAGTGGCAGCGCGGGGTAACTGCACAGCAGAGATCTTGGTTACATCCAAGTTCATCCAGAAATTAGAAAAAGAGAAGGAAAACAAGAAACCAAAAACACATTAGGGGAACTTAAGTCCTGAGGGTCTCAGAGATGGGTGTAGCTATGTGAAGGGCAAGGTGACCGCAGCCCTGGTGCCCCTGCAGTCTGGATGCAGACCAGGCTGCTCCAAGTGCTTGCCCTTCATCTTGCCTGTTTGAGGATTCATTTAGGTGGGGCCACCCCAGGCAGTGCACGGGAACTCAGCCTTGTTTTCCAAAAGCTATGTGAAGGGCAAGGTGACCGCAGCCCTGGTGCCCCTGCAGTCTGGATGCAGACCAGGCTGCTCCAGGTACTTGTCCTTCATCTTGCTTGTTTGAGGATTCATTTGGTGGGCCCACCCCAGGCGGTGCACGGGAACTCAGCCTTTTTTTCCAAAAGGGACCCGATCTATAATGCCATGTTATTTAGAGGCTGCACATTGTTAACTGGAAGGAACAATCCCACTTTGCCAAAGAGTTAGGCTGGATGAAGTCCTCAAGTCTGTCTTTTCTCCACATCTGTAATTTCCACTCTGGAAGTATTCTGTGTCTCCCTGTGAAACCTGAGCGGAGCAGGTGAGGCTCAGAACAGGAGAAGAACTTTTTATTGCTCACTAAAAAAAAAGTATATAACCCTTCCTGGCAATGCTACTTCTGCTGCAGTTGTTATGTCATAGAGAGAAGTCCCTGCTTTGCAGAAGACAACTTCTGTAGCAATTTTGGGGAGCCACCAAACCATCCATTGGCAGTAACTAGAGCTTTCAGCCCTTTTTGACGGCTCCACAGTGGTGTGCTGGCTCTCCAAGAGTGGCAAGTGCAAGGCAGTTAATCCTGGATTTAGGAACGTGAAGGTTAGTTGCAAAACAAGCTGATGAAGACCTGGGTGCAGGTGATTGCAGTGATCTTTCCTCCCTGCGTGATTAAGACAGCAGATGCTTCCCTCTTTCATCACACCGCTGACACGTTTAGGCTTAATTGCCTAAGGTTGTGGTTGCCTCAAAAAGGGTGCTGAGATCTTCTCCGTAGCCAGCATCAGTAAAGAGATGAAGGAATTAGTGGGCTTCAATGCCAATTACTCAAGCCAATACGAGCCTTTGTAGCTGGAGAAAAGCTTCCCTTGCCACTATAGGCAGGTGGGAGCATCACATTCAGATGTGATGCATTAAAGCCTCTTTTCTCCTGCAGCTGAATGGCTCTCCAGGCTGTGTGCTGACTCCAGGAGCTAAGAAGCAGCTTATTCTTCCCAAGGAAAAGGAAAATGGTGTATGCCTGGATCCTTGCCCTAGTAGCAGCTGTGGTGCAGTACGGAGCCATGGCTGTACATGAAGGTATGTGACAAGTGGGCTACCATGAAAGCAACAGCTGGGGATGATACTGAGACACATCAGAGTGAAAAACCATTTACAAGCAGCTATTTCTGCTGATGTCATGGATACACACACAAGATGCCTTTAACTTCTGCATAGGGCCCTTTTCTGCTAGCAGAACATCTCAGCTGGCACCAGAAGGTAGGTAGGACCTGACTTGCTGTCATGGGGCTTATGGGGAAATCAGGGCTCTGCTCAGTGTCCTGCCTCTGATACTGTTCCACCTCGGCTGCTTCAGGGGAAGGTGGGGAGAAAGGCAAAACATGGCCCCTTCTGATTCTTCTTCTGATCTCTGAGAGCTGGTACAAGCCACCATACAGCAGGTATGAGAGGAAGGGCCTCCAGGAAGCCTCGAAGCCTCCTGCTACTGTTTAGAGAATTGAGATGGCAGAAGGGCTCGTCTCCTCCCTGGCTCCCTGTTGCCTGTGCAAACCCACAAAGAGCTTTTGGGAAGAAGGGGCCAAAAGGAGACAAAAGGACCCCAGACAAGAACTTTGTGAAGTTACAGCATGATCCACAGCTCCTCTTTGTAGCCTGAGTCCTGCAGGAGTGGGAGGCTCCTTATGAGCGTCCTACAAAGCTAAGCCAGAGCTCCCAGGACAGTCACGGGGCTGGATGTGAGTCAGTGAGTCCTCCCTCTTCACATGGTTCTACAGGCTTTGAAGGTGTAAATTCGCTTGGACTAAATCCAGTAAATTCAACAAGGAGTTAATAAAAGCTTTGGCATCAGCTACAACATTAACTTAATTAAGTTCCTGTCCATCAATTAAGCCAATATACTTGACTATAATGCTATTTAATTCAAAACTGGGAACAATGCAATAAATCAACATTTACAGATGTCTCTGGCAAACCTGTGATTGATGAAATGTGGTAATTTTGGAGGTGCATGGAAAATTTCAAATAAAATCATATGCCCCTGTGATTAATATAGCTGTCTGTGCTGGTATTTTCTCGAGAAGGTACCAATCCAAATATGCTTAACATCACGTGTGTCTGATGACAGCTTCTGGTACCTGATCCAAGCAGCAAATGCTCCTGGGTTTTGTTGCCAAGCTGGGCCCCTCAGAAAAGGTGCTGAGCTCTTGGCTCAACCAGAAGGGTCATTGGTTACCCCTTTATAGAGAAAGAGGAATCATCCTGCCCTTTTTTATCTCATGGAGCTCTTGCTTGTCTTTCTCCTTGTTAGCCTTGGATGCAAATGAGGGCAGGAGTGTTGTGAAGGGTGAGCAGGACTCCCAGGCACGGATGGATGATGCTCTCAGGGGATTTGGGATGTAGAGAAGTAGGTAACAAAGGTCCCTCCGATACCAATGGCATTTTGAGCACGTTCTCCAGATCAGGGCCAAAAATGCAGGTGTCTCAGGAGAAGCTGTCAGCACTGCCTTGAGTAGCTCCAAGAGGAGGATGATTTCGGAAGGGCTGGTGGATGGTTTGTACCTTTGTTAGGATTTTCTTGTAGTAATACAGGGGGTGGTTACCCTGGGAAGCTGTTGAATGATCTCCACCAGTTTTAAAGTTGGAGCCAAGGACTGGCATTGCCTTCCCTCCAAGTCCTTCTGGGGGATCAGGGATGTCAAGGCCCAAGCTAGGGAGAAGGGGTAGATCCAAAATAGAAGCAGCAGCCGGGAAAAGAGCTTATGGTGATGTACTGCTAGCAGCTGAGCTGCCTCCAAGACACGCACCCTGACATCTCGGCTGAAAAGCACTTACGGAGGATTGAGAAAGGAAGGGACATCTCAACCAAGAGATTTAGGAAGGAAAACTGAGATAACTGTCTCCCATTTTTGTCGAAGGAAAGTGCTTTATATTCCCATTTGGGTTTGAGTTACACCAAAAAGAGCCAGTCGTTATTTATCTGCAGTAAACAGAACTGTTAAGTCATGAAGAGCTCCGTGCCAGGAGCCACAAAGAAAGACGAAAAAAATCAAAAACCTTGGGTTACAAAGACCCTTAGAGTATCACCCACCCACAGCTGGCAACTTATCCTCTGTCCTGATGTGTGGCCCAAGGGGACTGATCAGGCACACGCCAGTGAAGGAGAGCACAGAGCCTGCATCTTTCCAAGCCCTTTGGGGAGCCTGCTTATAGAAATGGGGTAAAAGTTAGGTAAATTGAAGATGTTGAGCAAAACCAGGCTTTCCATTTGCAGCAGAAGCATGAGAAACCTGCTTAGCACATCTCCCCAGCAAACTGGAACAAATGCTGTGGCCTGGTTGAGTGCGAGTTGGATCTCCAGACCTGCAGCTGAAGGTCAAGGCAGTGGCTGTGTAAAGTCCAAAGCAGCAGTGAGGCCAGAGGAAAAAAAATATGGAGAGGTTGAGCCCTGTCCTGTGACCAAGATACAAAAAAGCCCTCCTCCAGCAGTCAACTGGTCTATTTTTTAGCAGCCCTGCAATAATAACTCAGCATCTGTCTGCAAGGCAGAGAAAGACCAAAGCCAATATATGTTTTGAACACCCCTTGCAGAACATTCATGAGTTTAAGCATCCCTAAAAATCACCAAATTTATGTCCATGAAATGTGTTTCTTGGTTGCCAAAAGAAAATTTAAGTAAATTGAGACTGATCACTAAAGAAAAATATGCCTTGATGCCCACTGTTTTAGGGCTAGCAAAGCATGGGTGGCCAGGTGGCCCCATGTCTCCATGAGTATCTCATGTTGCCTCTGAAGACCCTAATGCAAGAAGCATCAGGTTGGTGCAGTGGCAGAGTTGCCACATTCCCAAATTTCAATGGCTTGGGTGTCAATTTCTGCCTCCGGGCATGAGAAACCCCCAGGCATTCCCTTTGTTTCCAGCATGTCCTACAGGCCTCCATGACTTGATGGATCTGGGTCTCAGTGTTTGTGCTTCAGCTGAGAAACTTTCCCTTGGACGAGAACAGCAAAATGGAGCATTAGGAGGAAATTAAAGAGAGCAAAGCAGTTTGTTGCTCTGGGAAGCCCATGATTACCCACTTCAATGGCCTTAAGCTGCGGTGTCTCAGGGGTTCACATGACTGAGAAGGGTTTATCTCCTGGCTGGCTCGTGGCATGGCTTGAGATGAGCCTTTCTGCCCCTCTTCTCCTCCCTCAGCATGCAGGACAGCGGAGGTGGCCGATATTTTGTTCCTTGTGGGGCAGTCGCAAGGTGCAGGGAGGGAGAGCTCCCGACTGGTCAAGGACTTCATCGGCAGCATGGCCCGTTCCTTCGAGAACGTGGTGATGGGCAAAGGGGGCATCCGGCTGGCGGTGGCACTCTACGGGGAGAAACCAAGGTAGGTCAGTCCACCCTCTACCACCAGCACCCGGGTTTCTGTGGCTCTAGATGGGCAACCGTATCCACTTGGTAAAAGAGATCTTGCTGCACTGCTGAACTATTGCCAGAGCAGAGCAAGAATTTGACCCCCAGCAACGTTGCCAGAATAGTGGTGGTTGTCCGTGGGGAACTTTTTCAGGACAGGGAGGCTGGTATTTAACACAGCCACAAAAAAAATCCCCACCATCCAATTTGAGGTAGTGTTTTATGGGAACAGAGCTGTGGGGCTCATAAGCTGGAGCTCTTTGACCACTGTGAAGAGGACTTCTTGCCTTCATACAAGCCTGATGTGACCAGCTACATGTCAACATTATGGCTGGTCGTTGCTATTATTGGTGCATCCTTGCTGTAACAGTGTTTTCTTGCTCCTTGTCCACTCTTATTCCCCCATTTCTCATTCCCAGGATGAGTATTGAGCTCACGGATTACGTGACCATTGAAGAAATGCTTGTTGCAATCCAGGATCTTTCCTTCAAAGGCAGCAGCTTAAAAATAGGGTCAGCCCTGGCATTTGCAGCTCAAGCCATGTCTCGCCTGGACACGCTGCAAGAGGGTGCAGCAAAGGTAAGGGACCTTCTGTGATGGCTTCCCTCGTGCCATCCTCAGTAGGAGCCAGACCTCTAACTTCTTCACTTGAGGGCACGAATGAGCCATTTGTTTTCAATTTATTTTTAGCTTGGAGTTGAGGTACCACGTTGAAGAGCTCATTCAGCTTCAGGTCACTTTGTTGGTGATAGAAGGAGGCAGGTACCTCCAGATTTTCAAAGGACTGACTCACTTTTTAAAAAATGCTCATGTTGCCCCATGGATTGCAGAGGGACCTGGTGTTCTAGTCTTAAATACCTCCAGCTGAGTGCCCAAATTTGGGACACTTACTCCATAAGCTCAGGGCACGATAAGGACAATTAGTGGCAGTGGCGGAAGTAGCTGTTGTTAATGGTCTGCACCCATCCCCTCTGGTTACAGAAAGCAGTAGTACAGTTCGCATCTTACTCAAAAAGTGAATGTGTTGCTGTGTCTTTAGCTTTCAGACATCAGTTCTGGGTCGCTAGGTTTCTTCAGATCATTTTTTTAAAGTTATTTTTTCATAACGATGCTGAGGATGCTAAAGAGAAGGTTTACTCTGCAGGCTGCATGAAGCAGTTCACTTTGTTCTCACGATGGACGTTCTTCAAAAAAAGAAGGGAACATGGGGAAGTGGATACACCCATGAATCAAGTCTGGAACTGTCACAGTCAGCTTTCACCTCTAGTGGGCATCCCACATTGGCAGCTCAGTGCTGTACCTCCCCCGTTTGCATGCTAAATGCAGTCTGTGTGATCCATGCTACCAGTGTGGTCACGGAGACCTGTTCTGAGTCAGAGCAGGAGGGAGAACATGCTGATACAGGTGGGATGTGTTAACCACCTCAACTGCCTGCTTAAAGGTGTTGCAGCAGGGTCTGTCTTCCTTACGGCATCCCCATGCACCAGCCATATCTCCTGCTGGGTGGTCTGACTTAGGGCTGCCCAAAAACTTTGAAAAGTCTGAGGTTGCTGACTCTGACTGTCATTTAAACCCAGGCTGTGGCTGAGTTTCTCACCTTCTGATAGCATCATCCGTGTGCCATTGGCCAGTCGTGTTGTCCAAGGTGCAGCATAGAATGGTTTAGGTTAGAAGGGACCTTAAAGATCATCTAGTTCCAACCACTCCACCCTGGGAAGGGACATCTCCCACCAGACCAGGTTGCTCAAAGCCCCATCCAACCCGGCCTTGAACACTTCCAAGGAGGGAGCTTCCACAACTTCTCTGGGGAACATTTTCACTGCCTCCTTTAGGAACTGTTCTTGTGGGCTTGTAGGGGTGAATCCTCTCTCTGTGCTGGTATTAATTTCCTTCTGGAGCCAGAGTTACTGCCCCAAGCAGAGGTGAGACAGAGCTGAGCAGGAGACATGCAGAGAAGATGCTGTCATGAGCGGCAGCATTTACGCTCTTGTCCTTCCCAGCTCACGTTCATTAGAGCTGATTTCATGTGACTTACCCCAGAGGTATGGGTTATCGAAGGATTTATTTTCCAAGTGCCCATCCCTTTAGAGGGATAGGACTTCATCCAAAGTCTGGCTTTTCAGTGTGAAAATCCTGCAGCTGTCTCCGTGACCTCCTCCTGTTGTGCTCTTTCATTCTCTGGCTCTTCCACCAATTCTTGTAGGTAGTCGTTTTGATCACGGATGCGAAATCCAGCGACTCAATAGAAGACAAAGCCCGGATTCTGCAGGACAGGGGGGTGACAGTGTTTGCTGTAGGTATGTATGGACACACTAAGTTACGTGAAGCATCATCACCAAATACACAACAGCCCCCTTTCTCTAAAAACTTCACTCATCCCCAGGTTTAGCCTCTAGCAACTACTGCGAGTACAGAAAAATCACATCTGTGCTGTGCTTTCTTTTTGTCATTGTTGTTGTTGATAGCTGATTTATTCAGTGGAAATCTGCGGTTTTGCATCTGTCAAAACTACTTGAGAATTCAGGAGGAGTTCAATAAAAAGTTCTGTAAAAGTCAAAGTGTTTTGATGTGACATTTTCAAAAATTAAATGTTTTTACTTTGGGAGGTTTCTCTTAATGGGATTCAGAGACCAACTTCAGCTACGTTAAAAATGCCCATTGGAATAATTCTGTGGACAAGGAAAAGTTTCAGCGCCTCCCTGCCCCCAAGCTGCAGCCATTTATTAAAAGTCAGGTCCTTCCCTTCACCAAACGTTTCAGGGGAGAAGATGGAGGGTGATGTTTCATGTTAGAGTGAGCAAATTGATTTGGACATATAGGAGGTGAAAATTAGGGAGAGTTGGTTTGTTGGATTATTTTTTGTCCCCTTTTTTAATTTAACTACAGGAAAACCTTGCCGTTTTCACACAGCCTCCCAAAGTCCCATTGTCTGCTCATCCATCAGGAGGGCTGCAGTGTCTCTGTATTCAACTGGAAGGATGAGGCCAGATCCTGCCCTGTTCCTTTTCACCCTCCAACCCAAGAGAGCTTTCCACCTCTTGGCCTATTAGCAGCTGAATCCCCACGGTCAATGTCTAACAGGACTCTGGAGAAAACCTTGGCCACATTCCCCTCGTGGCTTCATCTGCTGCCTGTCCACCTTGAGTCTCCATTCCTTGTTTCATCTTTCACCATGGGCAGCATGACTGCAACACTGGTGTAAAACTCAGACCAGCACATTCCTCCTGCTTGTTCTTGACAGCCCTTGCCAACACCTGGCCTGCTCCACGGATGGTGTTTGATGTCCTCCTTTGCTCTTCTTTTCCTCCAGGAATTAAGGATGCTGACAGGAATGAACTCAACAAAATAGCTTCAGAGCCCGCTGCAGAGCATGCACTTTACGTCGAAGATGTCCACCTGCTCTACAGCATGGCCTCCAAACTCTCTCGAAGGCTCTGCTTCACTGCCTCAGAGCCACCACGACCCATCAAACAGACTCCGCAAGGTGCGTCAGGGCTCCAACTTTACCCTGATTTCCACCTGCTGGAACCAGCCCCTTCCCAGTCCCTGTATATGCCAGCCACACCACGGAGATGGACCTCCCGCATCTCCTCTGTTCATCACAAGGGAGCTTTGGGGATTGGGTGACCTTAGAGGAGCAGCCAGCTCATTGAGCATGTGTTGCTTGAGGGCAGGGGACTTTTGTTTTTTGCTTTTGTTTGCATCTCCGTGGTGTGTGGGTTGGTACCAGATCCTAAAAGTCTTGCTACTGGTTCAAACAAAAGGAGCAGCAATGGGCTGGGGCAGTATTTCTACCCCTTGGAGGCTTTCATGGTGGACCTCTCATGGTAGACTTCAGCAGCACAGCTCAGCATCTCAGGAAGAACTTTATTCCTTGCAGAAGATGCTCAGAGCAGCTGAAGAGATTTCCAAAGACATCTAGGTCTCTCCCCAAAGAGATACTACTCTTGCAGAAAACCCTGAGAATATGAGTTAAAAGCTTGGAGCAGAGCTAGGGGGAACTTCATCAGAGTCATTAGATAGATTGGGTTGGTTGGTTGGTTGGTTTTTTTTGCTTTCTCTGTCGTTCTGTAGCACTTCAGGGCTTCCTGTGATGTTTCATGGAGAGTTCAAGTTTTCTTGCCAGATATTCTCCGATGGCAGTGAGGAGAAGGGCAGGAAAGACATGGTGCCCTAAGCATTAAGCAGGTGTTCATGGGGGAAATGTAGCCAGAACCACTTTTTCCCCCCTTCTTGTGCTGTCAAGCAATTTGACAAAAGAAAACCTGCTTGCATGGCTCTGACCTGGAAACAGATCCCAGCTGCTCCTGCGCTCTCAGCCTACGTGAGCACCATCCATGACCAAGACTTTCCCTGCGTTAAATATGTTGACTCCATCAATGAACACCCTTCACATGTCCGACACCATTACCATCACGGTCCAAACCAAAGGCTTTTCCTTTCTCTTCTTGCAGCAGAGAAGATCATCGGCCCCCAGAATTTGTACATCAGTGAACACAGCCACAGCTCACTGCGACTCATGTGGATGCCAGCCACGGGGAGGGTGATGGGGTATCGTGTCCACCTACAACCCTCGCTGCCTTCGGGGCAGCCAGTTTCCAAGGCCCAACGTCAGGTAGAGTTGCATTCCCGTGTTGCAGAGCACCAGTTGCAGGTTCTGGCATTAGGGATTACTCCTCTGCTGAGGCAGCTGATGGCACAGCCAGGTTAGGAGGAGGCACCATGTCCTCCAGCCATCCTGGGTGCAGCCCAGTTCTTTGGCATAAATTCCTGAAACTGGATCCTGCAAGTGAAGCTCTATAGGTAGACAATCGTATTTGCAGGCATGTTGATTGCTCATGCTAGTTTTGGCATTGCCGTGGCAGTGAGATGGAGTTTCTAGACTTGATGGGGAAGAAGGGTGGGGTGGAAGAAAGGTGTGGCACAAACTCCATTGGGATTGATAAGAATAGATCATAAGAAGCACTCTTTATCTCTTTACCTTGGTAATACCACCCCTCAAATAAGCCCATCCAGCTTCCCTAACAACATCTCCTCATCCTTTTGCTGTCAGGATTGTTCATCCTGGTAAGATCTCTGCGAGGTTTGGGTTTGGATTTGCTATGTCCTTTGCGTGGGGAGTGCTGCCACGTGTCCTGGCTCATGCTGGTTCACCTTGGTCACTGCACAAAGTTTGAGAGCAAGATTGAAGGCAAGAAGATGTATGCCTAAGAGCTTTGATTTCTAATATTAGAACGAAACTGTGAAAGCATAAATTATTAAGGTTAAGATTATTAATTGTATTAATTATTAAGATTGTATTTAATGAGAATGATCATCCTTGGCTGCTTCAGAATCTCATAAGAACACGATGAAAACACAGAAGTTTATCTTCACCTCTCTTGCCCTCAGGTTACATTGAAATCTCTCTCTACGAGCTTAAAAGAAACTTTCTTTGCCAAAGATGGCTGCTTTTCCTCCTTTTTATTTTAAGGGGATTGGGGGCCATGCTCACCCTTACACAAGCTCTTGTTTTCATGGAGTTTTTTTCTGGGCTAACTCATGAAACCCACCCTTGGCACTGTCTCGTGTCTATTCTATGTCCAGTGTGATCCCAGATGTCTTTTGAGGATCGCAGTGTTCCAAGTTGGTGCATTTTAAGAGATTTCTGCACATGTGAAGCCCCATGTGAAGCTTCGTGCTCCTCACCTTTTGCAAACATGGGGATCTTCTACTGTCATGGAGGTGTAATGATGTCCTTTGTCCCCCTCTGTGACAGGTTGTGGTGGATGGTGACAAAAATACCGTGCTGGTGACTGGTCTGAAACCCAACACCAAGTACGACGTCACAGTGAGGGCCATCTATGCAGATGTCCTTGGGGAATCAGCAGCTGTCAAGGGGAAAACAAGTGAGTGTCTCTTCTTTGGTCATCCCTGTGTGTTCCTTGTCTGTGTGGGTACAGGAAAACCTCACCTCAAAAACATATATGTGAGGAATGGAGAGGTAGGAATGGGTAGGAGGATCATCCATGCAGATGTCCATGGTGTGGGGTGCAGGGTTGTGAGCAGGTGCAGAGAAACTCCAGTGGTCAACCCACTTGAAAGCAGAGGGTGCAGCCCGCTGATAGCTCACATCATCTGATTTAATAACGGGCAGGATTTAACAAACCCGTGCTGGGGTTCAGTTAACCTAACCCTCCTGTGCCTGGGATGAGAAAGCTTTGGAGACCATGGGTTGAGAAACACGGACGCGAGTTTTATGGAAACATCTATATTCTAAATGCCGTGTTTCAGAAGTGGGTGGTCTGAAAGCTTGGGATTGGCATTCTGCATGTCCTCAGGGCTTCATTTCACCCAAGGTGAACATCAAGGTGATATGATCATGGACTTTAGGAAACACCCCGAGTAGCCATCTCCGGACTCATTAAAGGATCTGGGCTTCCTCTGGATTGCCAAGTGCCACCAAATTCCTTTGCTGTCGCATAGCTGGCTGTAATGCCAAGGTTCTTGGAAATAAAGGAACAAATTCACTCTTGGCCAAACCCTGGAGTGCAAGACACTGGGCCAGATGTGAGGGATGGAACAGGTTTTTTCCCAGAAGTCTCTGCACTACTTTAAGGTGTTTCAGGAGTTTAAGGAGTGCACTAATTCTACTTCCCTCCCTGTTTTGCATGAAATGCCAAGTCTGCTTCACTCAAGGGGTTTTAAAAAAGAATTATTTCTTTCTTCCTTGCCTTTTATTCTTCCCCCACCCCCTCCAATGTCTTAAATTGTTTGTCTTCTTGAGGGAAGATCTCTGACAGGATGAATAAATAAAGCGCCTCAATGAGGTTGACTCGTATGTACTTGCCAAGAATAAGATGGAATGTCTTTATGGGCAGAAATAAAGTCATTTGATCTCTTCTTTTATTATCCCCAACACGAAGCCAGAGGCAGAAGCTATGAATCTGTCTGCCATGGCTGGGTGGATCAAAATGGGCTCCTCATTGTAAGAATTGCATCCATAGGCACAAGTAGTGTTTGCTTCATGTGTCCTTGCTCCATTGGTGTGAAACCACCACAGAGTTTTTTTTCTGCTTGGGAGAAAATGCCCTGTGGGTAGATATTCCACAGTTCCCAACAACATTCAAAGAGAAAAACCACAAGCACTCTGCCTTGGGGGCTTTCAGCTCACTTTTCAAGCAGAGGAGCCTTTGGTAGAGGTGGGGAGTGGTTGCTTCTGAGGAGGTCAGCTGAGAGAACAGAGAGAACCCTAGAATCATAGAATCATTCAGATTGGCAAAGACCCTTGGGATCATCGAGTCCAACCATGAACTGGTGCTGCTCACCTTTGTGTCTCTTTATCCTTGAAGACAAAAGATTTTCGGTGTATGTTTGCCATGGCACTTTATCACAGTACTGTCACATCAATTTGTGCAATACTTTTGTATCCCAAAGCACCTGTGCCTCCAGTCACTAATTTCCGTGTGATAGAAGAAGGACTTTTTAGCTTGAAGGTGGCTTGGACACCTCCACCGGGCAAGCTGGAGAGCTACAAGATCTACATCCCCAGAGGTAAGTTCAGATTTTATTAATTTTTCTTGGAGTTTGCTTTAAAAGGGGCAAGGACTCAAGGACAGGAAAGGTGACATTTTGTCAAAGGAACAACAAACCACAGAGCTCCTGGAATTATTCTGGAAGGAGGCCAGGTTAGCCCCTCCCAGATAAGTGTGATTCCTCCAGGACAGAGGAGGAGAGTCCTCTGAAGGACTTTCAAAGAACAAGATGGGGATGATGTTGTGGATGCCTTGTACCCTATTGCATGGTCACATCTAGACCTACCATGGATGTATTTTGTACTCATGTGCCCGCTTTGGTGTGGCTGTAGGGTGAGTTCAAGCCTTTGGTGTGGCTTACGCCCACCTCTGTGTGATCTTGAGGGTTGGGACAATATGAATATGTCAAATCTTGGCTGCAGACATAACTCTCAGCGACACCACATGGGTTGGGGCACTTTAATCATGTGTTTGAACCAGCTCCTATGTGTTTTCTTCACTGTGTTGTGAAGGCATCATCACTCTTCTTGATTTTGCAGCCAACAGACCAGGGATGACCTACAAGCAGGTTCTGCAGGGTGATGTCTCTTCCCACGTGCTGGATAACTTGCAGGAGGATAGAGAATACAGCATCGGCATCTGTGCGGTGTATCCCCAGGGGCCAAGCCAGTCTGTGGTTGCTGTGGGGAGAACATGTAAGAGATGTGACTCTGTGGCTGGTCCCTTCTTGCCCTGGGTGCTGTGTTCACACCCTTTGCTGTTGATAAACACCTCATAGTTGATGGGTGCTGCACCTACATGTGCATCAAAGGGGCAACATTCAACACAGCCTTCCTGACCTGTGGTGGTCTTGTCTCCCAAGGAACAAGCAACGTTATGAGAGGAAATGGTCTCAAGTCAGGCAAGGGAAGGTTTAGATTGGCTATTAGGAAAAATTTCTGTATTGAAAGAGTGGTGAGGCATGGGAACAGGCTGCCCAGGGAAGTGGTGAAGTCACTGTCCCTAGAGGTGTTCAAAAATTGTGTAGGTGTGGCACTTGGGGACATTGTTTGGTGGTCATGGTGGTGTTGGGTAGACAGCTGGACTTGATCTTAGAGGTCTTTTTCAACCTTTATGATTATATGACCGCAACCTTGAGCCCTGATCTTCCCCAGTCACATGCACAGACATGAATGCCCTCGAACACCATCATGCTGCTTGGGAGGAAGGGTGGGACACCTGCCAGAGCCTCTCTTGTCCTCCTGTTTTGCACCCACACTGCATAAGGCGAGCAAGGCTGGTACGTTAGAGGCATTGATCCTTGAAAGCGGTGGTCACAGATTTGGTTGTTTTCACCACTGCTTTCAAGAGATGCCTTCAGCCTTCCAGGCAGGGCAGGAGCCCTTGGAGATCCCTCTCCTTCTGACAGATGGGCTAGAGGAACAGTGGTGCAGGGAGGGCAGCCAGCCACTGGCAAGGGAGTTCTCTGAAAGGGTTGTTCCTTGTCCTCCTTCCAGTGAAGCTCCAGCCTGTGAAGAGCATCTTGCTGCAGAACGAAACCACTGACACGCTCCAGGCAAGGTGGAGCCCCGTCCGGGGAGCAACGGGGTACAGGCTCACCTGGACATCAGCAGGTAGGAGCCGGGTGCATGCATCAGCAGGCACTGAGATGGTGAGACAGGAGCTCCCCAGGTGCACTGACACCTTCTGTGCCCGGCCCTGCAGCAAGAAGCTGGAGGGAACCAGGTTTTTTTGGGTTCTGTGAAGTGTGGAGTTTTCTGCAGGCAGCGATAAATCAGCAGCTTCAGCAGAGAGCTGTGCCGTGGGCCTTGATGCGCTCCACCACAGATGTAGAAATACCTGCTCTGGCTCTGCATAATGTAGGCTAATGAGTACCCAGCCTTGTCGATGTGGGATTAGGGATGGATTTACTGGACCTGGGCAGGCTCAAAAGGGTTAAATAGCTGGAGAGAAGCTAGTAAAGTATTCCATGCAGAGCTGAATCCACAGTCCCTGAGAATTTGGGCTTACCCTCATTTTGAGGGGACAGGTATTACAGCCTGGAAGTGCCTGTGCTTGTTACTTTTCTCTCTGCAGCGCCAAGACCTGGCTTCCGCCCCCAGCATCCCATAAAACATCTTCGTTCTCAGGCAAATTTGAGTGTTTGAAGGTGGATTTGAATTTTGCAGCTGGAGCCTCTCTCCCTGCCCTGAACCCAAACGTATTTTCATTGCTGGTGTGGGGGAACACAAGTTAGAAATTCAGGTTTGATGGCATATTTTGGCCTTGGGAGATGGATGTTTCTGTGGTTCAAAGATGAAGTGGGATGTCAGGACAACTGGGGTCCATCACAGGCTTTGAATAAATAGCAAAGTATTCTCTGGCTCAGCTCCCCTGATAAGGAGATTTCTCCCACCAGGGGAGGGGAGTGTTGCTTGGAGAACAGCTCCAAAGGCCATCATAAGGGAAAAATCTTTAAAAGGAAGATAGAAAAGTGCTTTTATTGCTTTGAAATGAACGTCTCTCTGGAAAAAAAAAAAAAGTGGCACACCCCAAAACTCATCTGTTTACCCAATCCTTGCTTGATTCCCCCAGCTAGAAATGAAGCACACGCGTGCTCAGCCCTGCCACATCTTTGGAGTGGGGACATCCCCTCTTGAAGGGACAGTGCAGGACATCGAGGGTGCATTACCTTCATTCTAGATTTGGTCTTTCCGAGCAGCTTTTTCACCGGGTACTGGCTCATCCCAAATCCCGGGGTGGCAAAGCCCACAAAGGGCAGCCCAGCCCCACTGCTGGACCCCGCGGGATCCTCCTCCCTCTCTCCATCCCGGGGCGATGCGTTAGGGTGCAGTGGCTTTGGACACTTTCTGCCCATCCCAGGCACTAGAATAGTTTGATTTTTCTTCTCTAGCTTCTGAGACAGAGAATATAAAAAACATAAAGGGGAGGCTGATGTGGAGAGCAGGTCCACAGAGTGGGGTGGGAGAAGGGGGATGGGGCTCAGGCTGCTGGTGGAGCAGAAGATGGGGACATGGCGCCCTCCAGTGACCAAACTGCAAATGGCAGCTTTCCCCCTCCAAAATCTTAGAATCGTAGAATTACAGAATGTGTTGGGCTGGAAGGGACTTTTAAACGCCATCTAGTCCAACCCCCCCTGCAGTGAGCAGGGACATCTTTACCCAGATCAGGTTGCTCAGAGCCTCATCAGCCTGACCTTGAATGTCTCCAGGGATGGAGCCTCCACCACCTCTCTGGGCAACCTGTACACACCTGTACCTGCACCTCTCTGTCCCTCTGAAACAGGGTGTGATCCCCAGGGATCAGGTTTTAAGTCTTCTCCTGCCATGCTGAGAGGTTCAGCTGAGTGGTTTCTAGCCCACAGCAAGGATACAGCAATGAGAAAATGTCTTTTGTGACATCAGTTGGCTCTTGTGTCCTGCAGGGAAGGCAAGACTGGGCAGCGGACCCCGTTATGGGACTGCTCATGGACCCATCTGTGGTTATTTGTACCTGATCTGTTTTCCTGGGCCTGCAGAGCCCTGAGTTGCCTTGATCTGCTGGTGATCACTGAGATCTGCCAAAGTGGCTGTGGGGTGTTTCGACCCAAATATACGCCAGCTCCTCAACCAAGATACATGCTCATTGCACTAAGCCCCATCCCTACAATCCTTAGCCTGAGGACCTCGGTGGCACATGTGCAAGCCAGAAGGATGAGATGCCATTCAATCTCATGCAGCTTTGTGTTTCTCAAGTGGCTGTTCACATGGTTGCCCAGTGTCCTCCCAGACAAAGAGACTCAAGAAGGGAAGTCCTCCTTGGTCTGACCCAAGGGAGCGAAAACATCAGCTGACCCAAATATCATTTCCCTTTGCAGAGGGCAGCATCCAAGACGTGAACCTCAGCAACACCTACAGCTACTACATGATCCAGGGGCTGCAGCCTGGCACAGAATACACCGTCACCGTCAACCCCATCTTTGGGGACGTTGAGGGGCCAGTGATGAGCAGGAAAGCCACGACGGGTCAGTGCCCTGCAGCAGAGATGGGAGACAGCCCAGGCAGACATGGATGAGGGTCAGGTCGTGCTGGTGTAATTTGTAGTCACCACCTGTCACCTGGTGCAGAAAGCACTCCAGGTCATCACAGCTTTTGAGGGCCACTTAGAAACTGTTGGGACCTTGATGCAATCAGTCAACTTTGCTCTCTCGCAGTGGGCTCGAGCACCGTCCAGATGCTAAAAGTGAGTGAGATATCCATCAACAGTGCTCTGGTCTCCTGGGACTCGGTTGCTGGGGCCACTGGGTACCGAGTGGTTTGGGGTCCTACACCAGGTAAGATCCCACTCTCCTTCAGCCTGCTTCAGCTCCACCTCCTTCTGTAGCATGGGAAATAAGACATTGGGAGCCTGAGGGATGGTGGGTGTAGGGGCAAGTCCAGCTCATTAACTGGTCTGAGCAGCCTCACCCACAGCTTCAGGCCATGAACTGAAATCAGAGATTATTCGTGGACCTGACCCAAAATACCTTTAGGCAGGGGCCCTGCAGCTTCTTTGTTCAGCCCAACAGCTAGAGCAAGAGTCCTACAACACCTTGACTGGTCCTCAGGGAAGAGAGGGGGCAGGTTATCTAGCACAAGGGCTTTGCAACTCTCTTCAGATGCTGAGAAGGGACAGAGCACATGCCCATGTCACGGTGGTTCCTGGATGTAAGAGCTGGTTTGGTTCCTTTGGTTCCTCTCAGCTGATTTGGATCCTTTAGTCATCCAAATTCCCAAATAAATAACCATAGGAAAACTCTCACTCACCCCAGCACACACATGGGTGTTCTACCACAGAGGTTCAGCTGGGTTGGACAGGGACTGCCGGGAAAAACGTGGTGCCCTTCACTGCTCTCCAGATTCTTCAATCTATATTCTCCTCAATTTTATTTTCTCTCTTCCAAAGAGTTCTTTGGCAAAGACCGTCCTCACCAACTAGCCCTCAACAAGTCGGTCACAGCCTACCAGCTCCGCAAGCTGGCCCATGACACCGAGTACGTGATTTCCCTCTACGTGCTCTTTGGCTCCATGGAGGGACCAGGGATCACAACCTCAGCCAAGACATGTGAGTACAGGCAGGACATTCAAGCCACCACCGCGACACACAACCCTTGGATATCTGGTTCAACCTTGTGTATGCCTACCAAGGCCTTACGCTGTACCTCCTGCACCCAACTCCCATGGGCTTCCCCTCATATCCGGCGCACTGTGATGGTGGTCCTGCCAACGTGCTGTGCCTGGTGGCTGAGACTGTAAATCCCAAAGTTTCCAAGGCTTTCTGCCTGGGCAGCTTCAAGTGCAAGCTGGAGCCAACATGCTCTGCGGCAGATCTGTTCATGGGGGGAGCTTGGGCAGAGCTTCAGGCATGAACTACCCAATCTGTGCTCACTGAGCTTCAAGGCATCCCAAAATCCAGACCAGTGGCCAAAGTCTTCGACATCATCAAAGAGTCCAGCTGGAAAAGATTTGAGACCTGGGTAAATTCTGCTATAGGGAGAGGGAGATAAATAGAGAGGAACATCCTAATTTGCTGCCTGGTGACACAGGCTGTTCCCTGCCCTGAAGAAGGAGACACTACAAAGGGCTGTGCTGACGCATCAGGTTGCCTGGATATGAGGCAAAAATGAAAATTCTTCATGTAAAACAGGGGAAAATGATGGTCTAGTTGATGGCCAGAGCCTGTCCCTCCATGGAAAACTTTGGAGTTGCTGCATCTTGGCTGGGGGAAGGCAATGGTAGTGAGCATGGTGATCAGAAAGCAGAGGCAATATTTGCACAGTAACAGATGTGTCCTCAGGTGGGTTTAGAAGTGGCAGAAGGTGGTCAGAAACGCTTGAACACAATATAGAGATAATGGTCTGACCCTTGTGAAGAAGAGGAGGAACAGGCAAACGTGAATGTTCAGCACCTATGGGAGCTCTGGGCAGGTGTTTCATGGTGTGGGCAACGTGGAGGCACTGGGATCTGGATTTCATGGCTCTTTGGATACCTGTACTGTCTGTCCTGGGCTCACAGAAGTGCTCCCACCTGGATCTAGTACAGAACGCATTCCTCAGTGCTAAGGGAGGTGGGATGTACACATCTGGCCCAGACCTCAAGCAGTGCAAACTGGCATCTCTCCAGGTGAGGCTGATGAGGCACTGAGGATAAGCAGAGATACCACTTTTAACCCTGTTCTTTAATTTTGGCCTCATTACACAGTCAACGAGGAGCCCTTTTGGACAGTAGTCAGGGCGCTAATACTGTCCTCACTTCGCAGCTCCTCTTGGCTACGTCTCCAGTTTCAAGGTGATGTCCTCCACTAGCACAAGCCTGTCTCTGGTGTGGAGTGCCACGGCAGCTGCCACCAAATACAAAGTCACCTGGAGCCCTGCTGGAGCAGGTAAAGGTGAGCAGGCAAAGGGTACACATGCTTGTTCCTGGCACAGACCCACATCTATGGGGCATGGGAGGCATCTTTCCAAACTTCCAATTCACTTTCCCAGGCTGGGAAATATCGTGATCTTCAATCTGCACCCATTGGTGACCCTCTTCTCTTTGTATTCCTGTTCTTCTATTTATGAAGATAATCCCCAAAGCTCTGAAGCAATAGTACAGCGAGGAACGACTATTTCCTTTGGAGGGAATGCCACCAGCCACAGGCTCTGAAGTATCTTTATTTTGTTTTCTTTTTTGCAGAAAATCAGGTTGCCAAGACTCACTATCTGGGCAGTAGAGTGTTGGCTTACCAGATTGACCACTTGTTGCCCAACACCCTGTATAAAGTCGGTGTTCGGGCTGTCTTCAGCAAGGTGGAGGGGCCGGAGGTGACTCTGACTCACCGCACAGGTATGATGTCCTGGTGGAACAACCCTCTTGGTGTTGGGATGCAAAGTTTTGATTCATGGTCCTGTGCCTTGCACGTTGATGATGAAGCAGCACGAGCAGCCCTCATAGGTGGCAGCAATAATCCATGGGTGTTCCCGTGGGTGGGAGTGGACACGTCCTTCTGACATGTTAAAGAGGCTTGGCATGGGTAGGCAACTGTGGACGCATTAAAACACTCCCTAGTCTTATTCATCCACAGCCATCTTGGGAAGGAGGAACCTCTCTGAAGGTCCCGCTCAGGGTCACCTCACCAGCATGTGCTCTTGAGTTTTGCCATTCCTTGATTTGTGGCTCTGGCGCTTCAAATTTGCGCTCCTGGTTCCATTTATTGTCTTTTTTGAGTGAGTTCATCTGAATCACAGTTCCCCATGGTGTTTGAAGATG